GAAGTAGGGTACAGACTGACAACCCTTAGAAGTGGGGGTGGTGGGGGAAGGGAAGAGATAAACCAAAGAACTTATATGTATACAAGCATAACCGATGGACATGGACAACAAAGCCGGGGATGGGGTGGGGGAGATGGGGAGGAGGGTGTCAATGGGGAAAAAAAGGAGAAACATCTGTAACAAAAATAAAATTTTTAAAAAATGTCAATTAAAAAAAAAAGAAGAAGAAAGAATAATGTACCCGTATGTTCATAGCAGCACTATTTACAATAGCTAAGATCTGGACACAGCCCAAGTGTTCATCAATTGAAGAGTAGATATAAAAAGTTGTGGTACATATACACAAAGGTAAACCATGCAGCTGTAAGAAAGAACGATTTTTTTACCCTTTGCGATGATGTGTAAGGACCTGGAGAGTAATGTGCTAAGCAAAATTAGCCTGTCAGAGAAAGCAAGTATCACATAATTTCACTTATTTGTGGAATGGACAAAGTAAGCTGACAAACAAAATAGATCTAGAGATATGAAAGTAGGGTACAGATGGAAAAACCTCAGAGGGAAGGGGGTGGGAGGCTCAAACGAGATAAACCAAAGAACTTATATACATATATGCATAATCACTAGACACAGACAACAATGTGATGAAGGTGGGGTGCAGGGCAGGAGTGGGGAAGAGGGTGTCAATGGGAGAAAAGAAGGAGGGACATCTGTAATATTTTCAACAATAAAGATAAATGTTAAAAGAATAAGTGGTGTACATATACAATGGATTAAAACTCAGCCATAAAAAGAATTATATCTGCAGGGATACCTGTAACCACATGAATGGACCTAGAGGTTATTGTGCTGAGTAAAATAAGTCAGACAGTGTAAAACAACTGCTATATCACTTCACTTATGTCTGAAATCTGAAAAACAAAATAAATAAACAAGCAGAATAGAAATAGACTCATAGATACAGAGAACATTTTAATGGTTGCCAGATGGATGGATATTGGGGGCATGGGTAAAAGGGCTTAATTAAAGGATTTAGAAGTACAAATGGTATGACAGAATAGTCATGGGGATTAAAGTACAGCATAGGGAATATAGTCAACAATATGTTAGTCCCACCCATTGTGGCTCAGTTGCTTGTGTATCGTCCCATGCACCAAATTGTTGCTGGTTTGATTCCTGGTCAGGGCAGATGCTCATGTTGCTCAGCCTGGTAGGAGGTGTGCAGGAAGCAGCTGATGGATGTTCTGTTCTCCCATTGATGTTTCTCTCTCTCTCTCTCTCTCTCTCTCTCTCTCTCTCTCTCTTTCTCTCTCTCTCTCTCTCTCTCCCCCTTTCTTTAAAATTCAATAAAATAATAATAGCAATTTTATAATAACTAAGTATGGTATCAGATGAGTACTAGATTTATTAGGGTGATCACTTCATAAGTTATATAAATGTCTAATCACTAGGTTGTATACCTTAAACTAATATAATGTTGTACATCAACTGTAATTAGAAAATTAAAAAAATATATTTTAAAAGTATTATTATTAGCCCTTGCCTGTTTGGCTCAGTTGTTAGAGCATTTGCCTGTGGACTGAAAGGTCCAGGGTTTTGATTCCCGGTAGAGGGCATGTACCTGAGTTGCAGGTTTGATCCCCAGCCCCGGATGGGGTCATGTGGGAGGCAACCCATCGATATGTCTCTCTCACATCAATGTTTCTCTTTCTTTCTCCCCCTCCCTCCCTTCCACTATATCTAAAAACCAATGGAAAAATATCCTCTGGTGACTATTAGCCAAAAAAAAAGAGAACTATTAATATACTATAGTCTCACAGATCTTATACATGCAAGTTACACTTGATTTTCAGAGCTAGGCTTTTGGGGAGTCTGCCTCTCAGAAGTCTTAAAATTTGAGGCAGTGCATGTTCAGTCTGAACCATTCGCTCTTTGGGGAAATGCTGACTGTATGTCACTGAGCCAGGGGTAGAGTTTATAGTGAGGCTGTCTGAACCTCTTCTATCTGTTTCAGTATGTGTATGTGTGTGCATTTTTCTCATTTGCCTGAGGGGGTGGGAATCACTCGGAGAGTTTCTAGATTTCTTTCAGAGGGAACTGTGCCCTAGGTAGTGAAGATTTGGTGTGTCCATGGGAGGAGGTGAATTCAGAAGCCTCCTGTGTTGCCATCATGAACTGGAACCTCAAGAAACTTGAGATGTTTACAAATGATAAAAAAATGTTTAAAATCATTAAGTAATTTCCCCAGAAACAGGCACAATAACTCCTAAATATATTCTACTAATTATTATATTCTATCCAGCTTTCTCTGCTGTGTTCTGTGGTTATATTGTTGTTGTTATCATTGTTCTTACAGAACAATATCCTGCTTTAATTATTAACAGTGGGTATATAAGAAATTTATCAATATTACATTTATTTTATATTAATCCTTGGCCCCAAACAGCTGTGGGATTTTTTTTTATTACTGTACAATGTTTTTGAGCAATGCTCAACACTTTTCTTCCCCGAGTGGTTTCTGAGTTAGGTTAAACAGAGATGAGTGCCTCATGTCATCTTTCAGATAGCCTTCAGACAAGTTAGAACAGAAAAACACAGTATTTGTTATTAACATCTGCTATTCTATTTGGAACCAGAGACCAGAGCCCTATGCCGAGAACACAGGCTGCACTCTTAAAGACTATAACCAATTTGGGGGAGTGGTAGTGCAAGGGCAGGTAAAAATGTCAGAAAGCTTTCATGTTTCTAACTTGCCCTTTTATTGATTCAGCATTAATTTGGTTACTGTGAACCTTTATTTTCCAGAGTTCTGACAAAGTTTGTTCTGACCATTTCTGCTTGTTTTCAATGTCTCTGAGGAGAGACGGTAGCATATACCTACCTACTGTACCATTTTGTTGATGTCATTCCATTGGAGCCTTCTTAACTCTACCACGCTGAGGGCCTGACTTCCTCTCAACACAGATGCCTTCTTCCCAACATAAGTAAAATAGAACGCATGGCATTTCCTTCTAACCTACTTCTCTCTTCTGGATTCCCTGTCTGGGAATAGTTAGATCATTTTTTCAGTTACTCAAGCCAGGAAGCATTATCTTTTCCCACTTATTTGGATAGGGTGGTAGTCAGTCATCGAATCCTGTGGATGCAATGCAGCTTGTAAGGATTCTCTGATCATTCCACTGATAGCTAACTCACCATTCCTACAGATTGCTATCATCTTCCACTTTAATACTGCAATGCCTCCTGCCTGCATAATTTGCCTCTTTCTCCCTCTCCATCTCCTAGATGCATCTGCTCAAAGCACTCTGTGCTGACCCCTAAATTTTATCTCCTGCTTTTCGAGTCCTAAGCTCCTTTAGGACAATGATTTTGTGTCTTCAACCCTGCAACAATGTCCAGCATGTAGCATGAGCTGAACAAATAATTCTTGAATATCTGAAACAGACCCACAATACTATCCCTCAGAATGTTATGATATAGTATAGTAGACATAGTAAAAATAACCAGTAAAATATCCTTATATATGTCAAAACATCAAGATCTACCTATTTTAAAACTTTTAAAACTAAATTTACTTTCCTGCTTCCTTACTTCTGATTTTGAAAATCTTATCCTTTATTCAAGATCTATTATATTTCTTACCTTCTCAAGCTCCTAAATACACACCTGTCAATTCAGCACTGAATTATACACTAATTTGAAGACCCTGATACTATTTATAACATCCCCCCTACCAAAAAAGTGAGGGATATGCAAATGTTAGGATAGATCTGTACCATGTTGCTATTAAATGCTGTAAACACAATGTAGTTGCACTAACCTCTCCAGCCCAAGTTAATTGTCACTGACATGCTTAATAAGATACTGTTTTGTGGTGGTTATAATGTAGATATTTCTTGTGTGTGTTTTGTCTCTCCATTATATTTGTATCTCCCTGAGGGTAACAACGTTCATTCAACCACTTTTGCATTAACCAAAAACACACAGTTCAAGCAGATATACAATACATATTTTCCCAACATAAATGTTTATAGGTTGTACAATCATGCTTTAATTTGTAATGAATAAAACTTATGGAATGAGTAGTACTATGCCAGAATCTTTTATTTTTGCAATTACTGTTTTGATATAATGTTCTTATACCTGGAGAAATCATGGCCTAAATGACAATATTAAGGGAACAATGTACTCTTCTTTCCCTGAGAAACCTGGATAAGTGTGGAGAGATTTATCCATTTCACACTGTTTTCTCATTATGCTCAGGCAATGGATTCTCAGTTTGGCTCATGAAGCTGGGGACACTACACATGTGAAGAGTCTGTATGGTCATATTCAAGTTAGCATCCAGAGCTACACATGTGTATATTTGAAAACATACAAATTTAACATAAAGAAGGAAAGTAGGTTTGATGGGAAAAGTTACCTATCTTACACTCCACTTCCCACATTGCCCAGGATAGAAAAGTTTTCAAGTTTTTCATCAATTAAGCAGACTCAGTCCATATATACTTTATGTAACTGTCTCTCCCCAAATAAGTACCTGTTTGCCAAGGAATAGAAATGACTACCTAGTGCTTTATGATTTATAATATTCTACTATGTTATCAAGTATCACCCATAGATAGTTAGTAGGTTCCAAGTTTCCAAATACTTAGTGAATAGAGTTGAGGCAGCTGAATGAGACCTTGGCAATTCAGAAGAGGAGAAATGAAGGGGAGTAAAAGGAGAGGGACTTCATGAAATTGTCATGATAGATGGGATAAACAGCTTGAGACTAAGGCTTGTAAACTCAAAGGTATCTTTCTTGCCCCACTATCTCCCAGGTCCCTGGTATCTTGGCTTTGAGGCTTCAAGGCTGCTATGAAACAATGTAATGTGTCTGGAAAGAAATAGTTTAAATTCAGGAACAAGGGGAATGTTCTGATCAGAACAACCTTGTCCTAGACCTAGTCATTGTAACAACCAAAGAAAAAGAAGTAAGTTATTTAAAAAGTAGTATACTTTTAGTGTTCCTCAGAATTTTCAGGAACAAACTCTTCAAATATTCTATTAATCGTCTCCATTGCCTCCTGGATATTAGACGATCCATGGACACAATTTTTCAAAACAGTTATTCCAAATTTGGCTCGGATAGAGTCTGGGGACAGTAGCTTTGCTTCTTCTGGGTCTGTGGGACCCATTAATCGTCTCCATTCTGAAACAGCATTCCACTTGGTCAGAATCATGACCACAGATGGACCCCTGCAAATAACAATACTTTTAGAAGACTTGGACCACTTGCAACTGTACAGAGTTCATATATGGCTAAAGACAGTGCCACAGCTTTATACAGAGAGCTTTTTTTTTTATTCTTTGTACTTATTAGCATAATTTTATGCTTTTTTGTTTGTTTTATTTATCCCTCTTCTAACAGGATTTGTGTGTGTGGGTGCGCGCGCGCATACACACACTAGAAAAATGTTGTAGTTTAATTCTAGGGATATATTCCAAGCACTGTTGCAAGTACTTTTAATGTATCGATTATTTAGCCCTCACAACAAACCTTTGAGGTAGGTACTATTACTATCCCCATTGTAAGACATAGAAAAAGTATATTGATAAACAGGGACTTAAACCCAGATAGCCTCTACATCTAATGTGGAACCTAATTTTAAAACAGGAAGGAAAGAAGTAAAATCAAAGGAAAGAAAGAAGGAATAAGGAGAGGAAGGGAGGAGGGAGAGAGAGGAAGATATGGAAGAAAGGAAGGACATAGGAATAAAGTGAACCAAAAGTATTTCTAAGTTGTCTTTTCATGAAGATGAAGAAAATCTTTTAATTTTTATATTTTTCAGTTTCTACAATGAACTGTATATCAGAAACTTACTCAGATAATATTTCCAATACATCTTTATAGAAGTCTTTATTTGTTATTTTAAAATAAATTTTGTCCGCTTGCTCTTTGGTTAGCAGGATTTCCTTCATCTGTGTTATATCAAATCCAGCCTCTTTAATAATACTGAAGATCTCCTCTAGAGAAAATAGATATTTGCTAATCATTCAGATTGTCTCCACTTTTGCTCCATGTTCAAGTAGATTAAAAGAACTAGGAAAAGTAAGTTTTATTTGCATACTGTAATTTTAAAAACCAAAACTATGCTAAACTAAATTGAACTTAAAAAGTACCAGATTGACCTTCAGAAGAACTTAATATGTTATTGTAGGTGTTCAAACTCTTTAATCCAGACTTCCAGGAACCATCCGAAATTTAGAGTGGAATATAAAAGTGAGAGAGGAAGGGATCTGCTCCTGTGCTAAAAGTGAAAGCATGTTTTCATCTCTATGGTACAAATGTCAAGAAATTTCTTGCTAGATATGAATTGAAGGTGAGAACCAATCTGAACTCTGCTTCCTGAAGTAGAAGGGAACCATCGAGGAAATTAAAGTAAATCTTGTCAAAATCTCACCAACAACCTAAACTTTGATGGCTATGTTATGGAGATGAAGGTGTCCATCGCATTATTCTTTCAACTTTTCTGTAGTTTGAAAAACTTCACTAAATTTGAAGAAAATGTATAAATAGGCTTTTATTTTTAAACATTTACCTCTTTGTTCATGTGTTGCATGAGGTTTAATCAATGCTAAAGTGTTTTGAGGGGGAAAGAAATACTGTATTTCCATTTCAGCAGCTTCTAATGAATCACTTCCATACAACTGGTTGATAGGAAAACTTTTCGTTGCAAATTGTATGCATAAACTTTGGAAAAGAAATCAAGTTTAAAACTGTTATAGCAGAACATAAGATAACATAGCGTAACATAACATAATATAGCATACAATGTAACACTATTTATATAAATTGTTTAAAAATTATCAAGCAATAAAAACTCATCCCTGATCTAGGCATAGTGGAAAAGGAATTAATTACAGAGTGTTTGGGGCATTCTACTTTGTTATAAGGATGTAATAATCTTTAGAAAGAAAGGACATGGGCATTTAAATAATCCTGATAATGGAAATTGACAGATACTGTAAATAAGGAGTGGATGCCCTAGTGCAGTGACAAAGCATGAACTATAAAATCCTGATCACACTACTTGCTAGCTATGTGATATTACTGAACCCCTCTGTGCTTTAGTTGTCTTAAACATAAATATGATAATAAAACCTATTTAGGAGGATGATTTTGAGGATGTAATCACTTGATGTATTTGAAATATATGGTGAATATTAAGCTCTTAATATTCCTTTCCCTTCTTTCACCATTAAATAATGTCAAGCACTAGAGATGACATTTGACTCTATACCAAAGATACCAAACTATAAACTTTAAATCCAGGAGAAACTGCAATGCAACCTTCCTGGTAAGCAACAGTAGCAACAAAGAAGGAGCCTAAAGGACAGCTTAATATAAAGAAGCAGTAGTGATGTTGATGGTCCTAGACAAGTCATATTGGGTTAGATAATTTATTCTGGTTCAGTTTCTGCATAATAGATAAATATATACCTCTTAAGTCAATTGTTATTCCGTGATGTTCTTTGCTCCTTTTTTTTTCTGTCTCTATCTGTCTGTCTGTCTGTCTGTCTGTCTATCTATCCATGTATATTTTAACAGCAGAGATGCTCATTGTTCATTGTATTTTCTGCCCTTTACACACAATCTTGAGCAGCCAACACCCAAAATCCAGTGATGGTGAATAATGTCCCTTCCTGTTAATAGTGACATCATTAGACACTTGGTTTTCTGTCCTCAGTTTCAAGACTCTCTTCTTGCCTGTCTGATTTCAGTGACCCATTTTTGCCTTATCCAACTTGACCTTCCTACTCAGGCCTTGACGATCTCACACATCTAATTTGTAGATTCTTGCAGCCCACAACCCTTGCAGCCTGTAATTGCCAGGGATAGGAAATTTGCACAATAATTAATAAAAACAGCTAAATGATCACCAGCACTTATTCCATTCAAGGCAGAGAGCTACAATCAACCCCGTTCTTATGCCACTAGACATGATTATTTTAAAAAGTGTGTGTATGTTTGTAAGTTTGAGTGTGTGTGCATAAGGATAGCAGAGAGGGGTTATTATATTTTTATGCAGTGACCATATATCAGATTAAGCAATGCAGAGTGCAAAATCTGATACTTGAGTGCAGAAAGGGACAGAGTTCTGTTGAAAGTTACTTCTAAAACAAACGGAAAGACTTGGGTAGAACCAAGGAAATTGGAAAAGGGGAGTCAATCAAATATAATGTTTAGGTTTAGTTGTGAACTTGTGGCAACATAGGAATCATAAGGGTTCTGGATGGGAATCTTCACTATAGTAATGGGGTGGAAGAGGCAGTCAGTCAGTACTTTCACCTGGAGAAAATGTCTCTGTGCTGGTGCACTACATCCACACTTGGAACCACAATTGCCTGAATAGTGTGCCTATGGACATAGGCTTTGTGTTGAAAGTAGTTCCTCTCTCTAATATTATACATTGAATTCTATGCTACATTTCATTAATAGGATCTGTGGCACTCTGCTTACACTATTTACATTGTTCAACCCACATCATCCTTGACAGTTATTTTCTGGTACAGGAGCAAATGTATAAGTGAGTAGGGATAAACAAGGGGTAAAATGTGCCCATTCAATACAAGTCAAATTCAAGATAGCCTGCCCAAAAGAAAATATTTAGACATTTATATAAGTAATGTTTCATAAATACTTTTATTTACTGTGTAAACATGTGTCTAGTTTGCTGGGCCTGATAGAGCTTCTCTATTCTTGCTCATTTGAAAGGAAAGCCTTTGTTCCCCAGAATTGAATCCTACTCGGCAACTGGCACAAAGAATTCAAGCAAATTGCAGTTCAGTTAGTTTCTATCAGCTACATCCCAAGAATGGAGATGCATGAGATATTATCCCCACTCCCCAGGTGATAGCAAGCTTAACAGTTAAGATTTTTAAAATATTTACAGAGTTCTCCCTATGTGCAAGGTAGTATACCAGGTGTTAAATTGATTACAAAGTTTAGTTGATATCTATAGTTCATCAGTAAATTAACTTAGTAATGGTTTCTGCCAAGTTATGAAGTATAATAATGACAAATGCTTATGATCAACTAAAGAGCATACAGCTACCAGCACAGCCTTCTCAAAAAATTTTTTCCTAAATGGTAGATGGAGTACAAATTTTTGCCAAGAGTTGGCCTTTTGCCTGGGTACCGACCACTTTCTTCCCAGCTCTAAACCAAACAGTCACAGCCTTTTCTTGCAAAGCCTTAGCAGTATTCAGGTTGGCGCTGGACTGGGCCTCCAGTCAATAGCAGTACACTCCTGACCCAGGAAAAGTAGCTATCCTAAGAACCTCCCTTGAGCTATAGCCATAGTTCCTGTTCCCTATATCCAAAAGTAAATTATAATGGCTCCCATGAAAACAGTTTGGGACCCATGATATGAATCCAACCTCTCTAGAAGACGTTCTTTGGCTTCTTCAACAGTGCTTGGTCCAATTAACTCTTTCCAGTGTTGTAAACCATTTTCTCTTAATAAAACAAGAGCTAGAGATGGACCACTTTTAGAAAAGAAAAAAAAAAGTCAAAAAATGACTCAATAGCTAATTATATATACATAATACAGATGTATTTGTAAAATAGACTACATAAAGTCAAGACAATCCTTTTTTGAGTCTAAAATTAATTTACATTGGTGTTTTCTTTTCTTTTTTTTCCCTTTTGGAGTATGGTGAAGAAGAAAACTTTATTCTATCTATTGGTGTATTCTTTTTTTTAATATTTTTTTTTCTTCATGGATTTTTAGAGAGAGGAAAGGAGAGAAAGAGTTAGAAACATTGATGAGAGAAAACATTGATTGGCCATCTCCTGCATGCCCCCCACTGGGGATTGGGCCCACAACCTGGACATGTGCCCTGACTGGTAATCAAACCAGCAACCTCTTGGTGCATGGGTTGATGCTCAACCACTGAGCCACACCAGCCAGGCCATTGGTGTATTCTTAAAAGCATATTTATAAAATGATGAAAGCAGAGAAATGAAGGGAAAAGAAGGATCTTGGTTCTAATAGAGTGGTTCCTATATTGTTCCCATAATCCTGCTGATTTATATACTCTTGCTAGATTTCTGCCTCAGTTGCTATTTCATTTAGTCTTCTAGAAACCTGACAGATTTCTAGCATCTCATGCTTCTCCTAGAATTAGTAATCTTTAGGATTACCAAAGCCCCTGAGACTCAATCAGTTCTCTGCTTGGAAATGATGATGTTGCACACCTAGGATTTCTGGCATTCAACTCAACTGGACTCTAGCAACTTCACTTGGGATATTTCCATTGTTCCAATAACCCTCCAGGAAGCCTAGAGAAGACAGACACTTGAGCAGAGAATCGACATGGGAGGGAGATTGGCAAAAAAATAGACTCAGTACTTGTTTACAGAATTGAAAGTTCTGGCAACTTAAGCATAAAGAAAGGATAAGAGAAGATTTAAATGATTCACAAATAAATCAGACCATGCTTTCCACACCTGAAATCTATGTTACCTGGTCATGTTTTCTATAAGATTTCCAAAATAATCTTCATTTTCATATTCCTTACACAGTGTTTTTGCCTCTTCTTCTGATAATACTATTTCTCTTTGCATCAGTATTTTAAAACCTTCATCTTGAATAATATTAAAAACATCCTCTAAATAAAAAGTCACATAACATGTTTTAAATTACTAGGTTATTGGTCATACATACAATAGAAAATATATTATTATTAGGGAATATGATGCATTTTATTCCATCATAAAATTTTTAAATTTTCAAAAATAGCTCATTAGATTTTAACTCTCAGTGACAATATTCTCAACACATCAAATTATAATGCCATTTCCAATTTTTCATGACATAAGAATCATATAGACACACACACACATTGAAGTATCTCATTAGCAAATATTCTCTACACTATGTGCTTTATCTCTAAGATTGGGATCAAGGCAGTCACCGCTCCTATTTGACATCATATTGCAAAACTTAGTGAAATAACACAAGAAAAGAAAAGAAAGAGTATATGGATTGGGAAGGAGAAAATAAAACTATCTTTGTTCACAGATGACATGATTGTCTATGTAGAAAAATCCCAAAGAAACAACTACAAAACTCCTGGAATTAATAATAAACTATAAAAGCAAAGTTGCAGGTTACAATTAATATACAAAAGTTAATGACTTTCTTATATACTAACAATGAACTTTGGAATTTGAAATTTTAAACAATACCATTTACATTAGTACACAGATATGAAATATATGAGCAGATCTAACAAAATATGTACAGAACCTAAATGAGAAATACTAAAAAAACTCTGGTGACAAGCATCAAAGATCTTAGAAAATGGGAATATATTCATTGTTCATGGATAGGAAGACTCAATAATCTTAAGATGTCAGTTCTTTCCTACCTGTTCTCTACATTCTACACAATCCCAATCAAAAGCCCAGCAAGTAATTTTGTGGATATGGGAAACGATAAATTTATTCTCAAGTTTACATAGAAAGGAAAACAAAACCAACAGAATAACCAACTCAATATTGTTGTAGAGCAACAGGAACTTGCATTAATTAATGTTTAGAATTGAAAATGTTACAGCCATTTTGGAAGGCATTTGACAGTTTCTTACAAAGTTAAACATAATTTAACCATATGAGCTGGTATTCATACTCCTAGGTATTTTCCCAGCTGAGGTGAAAATTTATGTCTACACATGCAAAAAAAAAAAAAAAAAATCTGTACCAGCTTTATTCATAACTGCCAAAAACTGAAAGCAACAAAGATGTTTTCAATGGATAACTGGATAAACTTTGGTACATCTATAAAATGGAATATTATTCAGCAATAAAAAGAAATGAGTAATCAGGTAACAAAAACAAATGGAGGAACCTGAAATACATATTAAGAAAAAGAAATTGGTATGAAAAGGCTACATACTGTTGTTTCCAACTATTTGACATTCTGGAAAAGGGAAAAGAATAAGGAAAGCAAAAAGAGCAGTGGTTGCCTGGGGTAAGGAGAGAGAAAGGGAGAAACAAACAGGTGATTCTATTCTGTATGATACTGTAAAGGGATATATGACATGCACAACTCACAGAATGTACAAAATAAAAGAACTTTAATGTAAACTATGGACTTTGGTCAATAACAATGTATCAATATTGGTTCACTAATTATAAAAATTTATCACAAAATATATTACATTTTATATTTATTGTGATATACTCTTACAATTAAGTTTCTTCTTTTAACAGGAGAAACTGCTAAGCAGTATATGGGACCTCTGTACTATCTTAATTTTTCTATAAATCTACAACAGTTCTTATTTATAAAATCTACTCATTTAACGAGTATGTAAATATTAAGAAAGATTTTAAAAGGCAAACAAAACATTCCAAAGAAAAAAAATTCTAGGCCCAGATAGTTTCACCAGTAAATTCTGATAATATTTAAGAAAGATGTGATATCAATTATAAACTCTCTCTTCTAGAAAATCAAGAGGAGTGACAACTTATCTCATTTTATTAGGCCTACATTAGGCTGACACCAAAACAAGATAAAAACATTGCAAGAAAACAACAAATAATCCTCATGACTATAAGCACATAAGTCTTCAGCAAAATATTTAAAAATTCAATCCAGAAATATGTAAAAAGGACAATATATAACAACCAAGTGTGGTTTATCTGGAGAATGCAAAGTTGCTTTCACATACAAAAATCACAGTCGTTGTCATATTATTAAACTTAAGGAAAAAAATAATCATGTAAGTAGAGAAAAATATTTGAGAAAATACAACATTCATTCATGATTTTTTATTTTTTATTTTTTTATTAATTAATTCATTTTTGTCACAGCTGTTTCTCCTTTTCCCCCCACTGATTCCTTCCCTGCCCTGTCCCCACCTTTGTTGTCCATATCTATTGTTCATACATACATGCATATAAGTTCTGTGGTTTATCTCTCCAGCTACCCCCTCTTCGGGGGATTGTCAGTCTGTACCCCACTTCCACGTCTCTGGGACTACCCCATTACTCAGACTGTTATGTTTATTGTATTCCACAAATAAGTGAGATCATATGTTATTTGTCTTTCTCTGCTCGGCTTGTTTTGCTTAGGATAATATTTTCCAGGTCCTTCCATGTCGTCTCAAAGGATAAGAGATCTTTCTTTCTTATAGCTGCATAGTACTCCATTGTGTATATCTACCAAAGCTTTTTTATCCATTCGTCTACTGATGGACATTTGGGCTGTTTCCAGATCTTAGTTATTGTAAATAGTGCTGCTACGAACATGGAGGTACGCATATTCTTTCTGATTGGTGTTTCAGGCTTCTTAGGGTATATTCCTAGAAGTGGGAACACTGAGTCAAATGGAAGTTCAATTTTTAATTTTTTGAGGTAGCACTATATTGTTTTCCATAGTGGCTGCACCAGTCTGAATTCCCATCAGCAGTGTACTAGAGTCCCCTTTTCTCCACACCCTCGCCAACACTTGTTGTTTGATGATTTGTTGATAGCAGCCATTCTGAGAAGTGTAAGGTGAAGCCTCACTGTTGTTTTAATTTGCATCTCTCTGATGATTAGTAATGTTGAGCATTTCTTCATATGTCTCTTAGCCATTTGTATGTCCTGTTTGGAGAGGTGTCTATTTAGTTCCTCTTTCTCTTCCTTTTGTTGAGTTGCATGAGTACTCTACATATTTTGGAAATTAACCTCTTATCTGATATATCATTAGCGATGATGCTCTCCCATACAGTGGGTTGCCTTTCCATTTTGATGATAGTATCTTTTGCTTTGCAGAAGCTCTTGAGTTTGATGTAGTCCCCACGTGTACATTTTCTTTTTTGTTTCTGTTGCCTTAGGTGATATATCAGTGAAAATTCTGCTGCGTATAATGTCTGAAATTTTGTTGCCTACATTTTCTCCTAGGATTTTTATGGATTCATGAGTCAATTTGTCTTTTATCCATTTTGAGTTTATTCTTGTGTAGGGTGGAAGTTGATAGTCTAGTTTCATTTTTTGCATGCAGCTGTCCAATTTTTCCAACACCATTTATTAAAGAGGCTGTCTTGACTCCACTGTATGCTCTTGCACACTTTGTTAAATATTAATTGAGCATTTTCCTTCAGTCCTTTTCTGGGTTCTCTGTTCTGGTCCACTGGTCTATATGTCTTTTCTGGTGCAAGTACCAGGCTGTTTTGATTACAGTGGTTTTGCAGTATAACCTGAAATCTGATAATGTGATCCCTCCTGCTTTGTTCTTTTTTTTTCAAGGTTGCTGTGGCTATTCAAAGTTTTTTTTTTTGTTTTGTTTTGTTTTTGGTTCTATATAAACTTTTGAAGTATTTGTTCTAGTTCTGGGAAGTATGTCGCTGGTATTTTGATGGGGATTGCATTGAATCTATAGATTGGTTAGGGTAGTATAAACATTTTAATGATGTTAAATTTTTTTCAATCCATGAACAAGGTATGTGCTTCCACTTTTTTATATCTTTCTCTACTTCTTTTTTCAATGACCTGTAGTTTTCTGCGAATAGATCCTTTGTTTCATTGGTTAAGTTTATTCCTAGGTATCTCAATTTTTTTGCCACAATGGTAAATGGGTTGGAATTTTAGTTTCTATTTCAGTGAGTTCATCATTAGTGTATAAAAATGTCATCGATTTCTTGATATTAATTTTGTATCCTGCTACAGTGCCAAATTTATTTAAGTCTAGTAAATGTTTGATGGAGTCTTTAGGGTTTTCTATGTACAGTATCATGACATCTGCGAATAATGACAGTTTCACTTCCTCCTTTCCAATTGGGATCCCTTTTATTTTTTTCTTCCTGTTTGATTGCTATGGCTAAATCTTCCAGTACTATGTTAAATAAGAGTGGCAAAAGTGGGCATCCCTGTCTTGTTCCTGTTCTTAAGGGAAATGCTTTTAATTTTTGCCTATTGAGTATGATGTTGGCTATAGGTATTTCATATAAGGCCTTTATTATGTCAAGATATGATTCCTCTATTCCCAGATTGCTGACCATTTTTGTCAGAAATAGGTGCTAGATTCTGTTGAATGCTTTTTCAGTGTCTATTGATATGATCATATGATTTTTATCTTTCATTTTGTTTATGTGATGTATCACATTTATTGATTAGCAAATATTGTGCCAGCCTTGCATTTCTGGGATGAATCCCACTTGGTCATGGTAAATAATTATTTTGATGTATTGCTGGATCTGATTTGCTAGTATTTTGTTCAAGATTTTGGTTTCTATGTTCATCAGGGATATTGGCCTGTAGTTTTCTTTCTTTGTAATGTCTTTTTCTGGTTTTGGAATTAGAATTATGTTGGTTTCATAAAACGAGTTTGGAAGTCTTCCTTCTTCTTGAATTTTTTAAAATTGTTTGAGGAGAATGGGTATTAGTTCTTCCTTGAATATTTGGTAAAATTCCCATGTGAAGCTGTCTCGGCCTGGGCTTTTGTTTGCTGGGAGAGTCTTGATTACATCTTCAATTTGTTTTGTTGTTATTGGTCTGTTCAAGTTTTCTACCTCTTCCTGGTTCATTGATCCTTTGAATTGCTTTTTTGGTCTACATGTCATTTATTTCTGCTCTGATCTTTACTATTTCCTTCCTTCTACTTGCTCTGGGTTTTCTTTTTGTTTGCTTTCTAGTTCTTTAAGTTGTGAGGTTAGATAGTTTATTAGGAATTTTTCTTGCCTCTTGAGGTCGGCCTGTAGTGCTATGAACTTTCCTCTCAGAACTGCTTTCACTGCATCCCATAGATATTGTGTTGTTGTGTGTTCATTTTCACTGATTTCCAGGAAGTTTTTAATTTCTTTCTTGATTGCCGTGGTAACCCATTCATTGTTTAATAACATGCTATTTAGCCTCTATGTTTTCAAATGTCTTTGAATGTTCTTGTTGCAGTTGATTTCTAGTTTTATGCCATGTGATCTGAGAAGATGCTTGATATGATTTCAGTCTTCTTGAACTTGTACAGACTTAGTTTGTGCCATAACATGAGGTCTATCTTTGAGAATGTCCCAAGTGCACTTGAGAAGAATGTGAATTCTGCAGTTTTGGGGTATAATTCTCTGTAGATATCTATAAAATCCATTTGATTTAGCACTTCATTTAGAGTCTGTGTTTCCTTGTTAATTTTTTATCTACAAGATCTATCCAGTGGTGTCTGCGGGGTGTTGAAGTCCCCTGCTATGATTGTATTGCTGTCGGTTTCTCCTTGGAAGTCCTCTAGAAGATTTTTAATATATTTTGGTGCTCCTATATTGGGTGCATATATGTTTACCAAGGTTATATCTTCCTGCGGAATAAAACCTTTCAATATTATGTAGTGGCCTTCTTTGTCTCTAGTTATTGTCTTTATTTTGAAATCTATTTCATCAGATATGAGTATTGCTACCCCAGCAGTTTTTTGTTTCCCATTCACTTGACATATTTTTTTTTTCTATCCCTTCTCTTTCAACCTATGTGAGTCTTTTGTTGTGATGTGGGTTTCTTGTGAACAACATATATGTGAGTCATGCTTTTTTATCCAGTCAGCTACCCCTTGTCTTTTTATCAGAGCATTCAAACCATTCCCTGTTAAGGTGATAATTGATATGTACTTCTTTATTGCCATTTTTGTTTAGTGTGGTTATATTTTTCTTCCTTTTTCTTCTACTAATTACAACAGTCCTTTTAGCCTATCTTGCAGTGCTGGTTTGGTGTTAATATATTCCCTTAGCCTTCTTTGTCTGGAAAGCTCTTTATTTGACCGTCCATTTTGAATTGTAGCCTTGCTGGATAGAGTAGTCTTGGATTCAGATCCTTGTTTTTCATGACCTTGATTACTTCATCCCACTTCCTTCTGGCCTGTAGTATTTCTCTTGAGAAATCAGCTGAGAGCCTTATGGGCTTTCCTTTGTAGGTAACCTGTTGCTTATCTCTTGCTTCCTTTAGGATTCTCTCCTTGTCTTTAATTTTTGTCATTTTAATTACTGTGTGTCTTGGTGTCGGCCTGTTGGGGTTCTTCTTACTTGGGGCTTCCTGTTCTTCTTGAAATTGAATGCCTACTTCTTTCACCAGGTTAGGAAAGTTTTCTGTTACTATTTCTTCAAATATATTCTCTAACTCTTGCCCATTTTCTTCCTCTTCGGGGACGCCTATAATGTGAATGTTATTACATTTCCAGTTGTCCCACAGTTCTCTTAAGCTGTCTTCCTGTTTTTAATTGTTTTTTCCTTTCGGTTTTCTGATGGTTGATTTTTTTCCTACCATCTTCTAATTCACTGATCCAGTCCTCATCTTCCTCTACTCTGCTGGTTAGTCCTTCCAATGTGTTCTTAATTTCTGCTATGTCATTCTTCATTTCCACTTGTTTGGTTTTCAATGTTTCTATATCTTTACTCATTGTGCTGATATTCTTACTCATGCTGTTAAGCTTCCTGAAGATCATGGCTCTTAACTCTACCTCTGATAATTTGCTTAGCTGCATTTCATTGATTTCATCTTCAATAGAGTTCTCTTGATCTTTCATTTGGGATTTGTTTCTTTGTTTCACCATTTTGGCTATCTCAGTGGGTTTCGGAGCCTGCCAAATTTTTCCTGTGGGTGTTGGTGTCCTGCTGTTTGTAGCTGCCTCTACTGGGTTTGGCTAAGCCTGGGTGGGCACACGTTAAATAAACATCACTCTCAAGTCTTACTTTCCTGGGTAGATTTGCAAGCCCAGGAAAGGTTCAGTTATCCTCTAGCTTTTTCCTGGTGGCTGGTAGTCTGTTACTCAGTGCCTTGGAATGTAGCCCTGGTGTTCTGCATTAGAGGATTTCCAGAGGGTGGGATAGATGCTGGTTATTAATGAACCTCAATTTGCATTTCTTTGCCTCACCTGGGAAAGGCTGAATCTCTTGTGGGGGATGGGGCTGCTGCTTTTCCCCACAGCTCAGGGAAGGAGCACACTGGCCACCATCCTTTGTGGCCGCAACTCAGCAAAAATTCTGAGTGCCCTCCAAATCCTGGGTGTCCCCAGAGAGTTCCAGCTTAGTCTGCCCTCCGTCTGCTGTAGCCTCCAGGTGAGTGTCTGTGGCTATTTAAGGGCTTTGTCCTGCCTCTCTGCACTGTGGAACGGACTTGGTCTTTATTCCCCAATGGCACTGCTCACAGCTAAGACTGCTGCTGTCTGTGAGCTCCCAGCCTGCCACCCTCTCCTGCCTCCGCAGATCCTACCAGTGTCCCTGGTTATATGGCCTGTCCTGCTGCTTTTCTGTTGCTTTTTTCTGAGGATTTGTGGGAATCTCCTTAATTTGATAAAGGATATATAGCATTAACATTATACTTAATGGTAAAAAACTGACTGCTTTCACTCTAAGGTCAGGAACATAGCAAACCTATTTACTATCACCTCTCCGAGTCATTGTCATACAGGAATTTCTAGCCAGTCCGTGCAATGTGGAAAGCAAATTAAATAAAAGTATACAGATTAGAAAGGAAGTGGTATAACTGTCTTGATTTGCAATGATATTACCTATATCAGTAGTTCTCAGCCAGAGGTTTTGTTCCCCAGAAATGTACTTGACATTGTCTGGAGACATTTTTTTGTCACAACAGGGCATGACAGGGATGGAAATTCTACTGGCATCTAATGAGTAGAGGTCAAGAATACTGTGAACATTTTATTTTATTTATTTATTTATTTTTTTATCCCCACCCGAGGACACTTTTCCATTTTTTGTTCAGGTAGAGTGTGAGGGAGAGAGAGGAACAGAGAGAGAGAGAGAGAGAAACATCAATGTGAAAGGGACACATCGAGTGGCTGCCACCCGCACAACCGACCAGGGCCGGGGACAAACTGCAACCGAGGTACGTGCCCTTAGCGGGAACCGAACCCGAGTCTCTCAGGACCGCAGGCCGACGCTCTAACCGCTGAGCCAAACTGGCCAGGGCTACTGTGAACATTTTAAAATACACATGACACAGCCTCCCTCAACCAAAAATTATCTAGCCCCAAATGTAAGTAGGCCTGAGGTTGAGAAATCTGGTCTGAATAGAAATTCTCAAGGAGACTACATCAAAGCTTCTAAATTGAGTTCAGCAAATCAGAGAATGCAAGGTCAATATACAAATATAGTATTTTCATACATTAGATATGAAAAAGAATTAATAGTGTGAATTTATGGTTTGTATTCTTACTCTGCCATGTTCACTCTGCTACGTGAATATGGGATTAGGTTAGAAATAACTAGCACATTTTATGTGTAGGCACTGTATTTATGTATTCTCATTTGCATCTAAAATTTTTAAAAATATGTTTTTATTAATTTTTTAGAGAGAAAGGAAGGGTGGGAGAGATAGAAACATCAATGTGAGAGAGAAACATCTATCTAGCTGCCTTCTGCACATCCCCTATTGGGGATTAAGCTCACAACCTGGGTATGTGTCTTGAACGGGAATCAAACCCAGACCTCTTAGTCCATTGGATGATGCTAATTCACTGACCCACACTGACACAGCTGAACTTGTTTATTGTTTTTTCAATTTATTTTCTTATTTTTCTATTAGAATCTGCATTTAATATTATTCTGTATTTGAAGAAAGAGACTTGATAAAGCATCTTTTTCAAATCACACTATTAATGAAGGGTTGACCCAAGCTTTGAATTAAGGCATTTTAGAAATCAAAGCTTACAATCTTTATTATGTAATAATTCCTGCCATGTTAAAATCTTCTCTAACAAATTTATAGGTTAGAAAATATTTTGTAAACTCTTTAACTACATAAATGTCTTATTTATAATTGAAAAGTTAGTAAGTTAATAGTAAATAAATTTCTTACTTTAGATGCTTTTTCTTCAAAGTCAAATACTAAAATAATATATATTTTTAATTAATTTATTTCCTTTTGTTACAGATGTTTCTTTTTTTCCCCCTCTGATTCCCCCCTCTCCCTCTCCCTGACCTGTCCCCAGCTTTCTGTCCATGTCCATTGTTCATGCATACATGCATATAAGTTCTGTGGTTTATCTCCCCTCCCCCCTTCTGGAGATTGTCAGTCTGTATAAAATAATATATTTTAATGTAATTACACTAAGGTGTATTCAAGTTCATTTATAAAATAAACAATTTACATCTTATTTCTTACCTTTCTTTTCTTGAAAGAGATCTGGTCGAAGTAATGCCAGTGTCTTTTCTAATTTTGATATACTTTTAAAATCAGGGAAGAAGATATCAATAAACTTATTAACATTAGTTGTATTCTCTTCAACATCACAAAACTGAGATATATTTTGTCTTTCCAGATATTCTTGTAAACTGTTGAAATTCAAAATATAATTTAAGATTATAAATTGAAGTTTAATAACCATGACAAAAACTTAAAACTGAAAATATGTTTAGGTAATTTGGGGTTTAGTAAAATAAATAAAAATTTAATTTCACATAAAGATAAGCTGCATCTTTCTATCATATCAAAAAATAATATATTTAAGTCAACTTTTTATTGAAACAATACAAAGATCAATGAAATGAAATCATGATGTTTGACTTCATGAGAGGATAGAAAAGACCAAAATAAAATGTTTAAAATTTTTTCCTTTTCTCTGTGTAAAGATTTTCAGATAGTTTCTATGTTTTCTTTTAATTTTGTCTTTGAATCAAGGTTATTTAGAAGCATATTTCAATTTTCAAATAGATAAGACATTTTGATGATCTTGTCATTGTTTATTTCCAATTTTATTGGATTACAATCAGCAATGTATGTTGTGAAATCTTAATTTTAAAAATTGTTGACAGCTCTCATAGGGGTGGGGTGTTGGGGCTAGATGAAGGAAAGTGAAGGGATTAAATAAAAAAAAACTCATATATATATATACATATAGATATATGTTTGTTTGTGTGTGTGTGTGTGTGTGTATTTCTATATATACGTGATCACATAGACACAGATAACAGTATGGTAGCCAAGGAAAAAAGAAGTGGGGATAGGTAGAGGTGGGCAAAGGAGGGATAAATGGGGGCAGAAGGAGACTTTGCTTTGGGCAGTGGGCACACAACGCAGTGTGTTGATGTTTTATTGAGTTGTGCACTTGAAACCTGTGTAGTTTTGTAACCAGTGTCCCCCCAATAAATTAAATTAAAAATTGTTAAGGGTTTCTTTGTAAATAAACTTTTATTTGTGGGATTTAAGATTAGGTATATTTATATTTTATATATTATAGGTCATTTATTATATATAATTATTGAATATACATTTTCCACTACTATAAATTTTTGTTTATTTTCATCTGCTGTATGTTGAGATGTGTTACCAAGGATATTTTTTTCCAGTTCGTATTTTTCTAGTACTTTTATTTTTATACTTTTTACTGTTTTGTTGTTTGGGGCATTTTGACTACTATATCTTCTTTATAAATGTTGCAGTTTACATTATGTACTTCTTTTTTTTTATGAATTTTTATTTATTTTTTTGTTACAGATATTTTACCTTTTTACCCCATTGGCACCCCCACCACACCCCACCTCCACCCTGCCCCGGCTTAGTTGTCCATGTCCATTGGTCATGCATACATGCATATAAGTTCTGTGGTTTATCTCTTCCCACCCCCCCACCCCCCCATCCCCTCTTCTGAGGGATGTCAGTCTGTGCCCTACTTCCATGTGTCTGGGTCTACTGTATTCCTCAGACTGTTATGGTCATTATATTCCGTATATAAGTGAGATCATGTGGTATTTGTCTTTTTCTGCTTGGCTTCTTTCACTGAGGATAATACTTTCCAGGTCCCTCCATGTCGTCTCAAAGGATAAGAGATCTTTCTTTCTTACCGCTGCATAGTACTCCATTGTGTATATGTACCACAGCTTTTTTATCCATTCGTCTACTGGTGGACACTTGGGCTGTTTCCAGATCTTAGCTATTGTAAATAGTGCTGCTATGAACATGGGGATACATATATTCTTCCTGATTGGTGTTTCAGGTTTCTTAGGGTATATTCCCAGCAGTGGGATCACTGGGTCAAATGGAAGTTCAATTTTTAATTTTTTGAGGAAGCACCATATTGTTTTCCATAGCAGCTGCACCAGTCTGCATTCCCACCAGCAGTGTACTAGAGTCCCCTTTTCTCCACACCCTCGCCAACACTTGTTGTTTGATGATTTGTTGATGGCGGCCATTCTGACAGGTGTGAGGTGATACCTCATTGTTGTTTTAATGTGCATCTCTCTGATGATTAGTGATGTTGAGCATTTCTTCATATGTCTTTTGGCCATTTGTATGTCCTCTTTGGAGAGGTGTCTATTCAGCTCCTCTGCCCGTTTTTTAATTGGGTTCTTCGTCTTCCTTTTGTGGAGTTGTATGAGCACTCTATATATATTGGAAATTAACCCCTTATCTGATACATCATTGGCAATGATGTTCTCCCATACAGTGGGTTGCCTTTCCATTTTGATGATTGTTTCTTTTGCTGTGCAGAAGCTTTTGAGTTTGATGTAGTCCCATGTGTTCATTTTCTCCTTTATTTCTGTTGCCTTAGGTGATGTATCAGTGAAAATTCCGCTCTGTATGATGTCTGAAATTTTGTTGCCTACATTTTCTTCTAGAATTTTTATGGATTCATGGGTCACATTTAAGTCTTTTATCCATTTTGAGTTTATTTTTGTGTATGGTGTAAGTTGATGGTCTAGTTTCATTTTTTTGCATGTAGCTGTCCAATTTTTCCAATATTATGTTCTTCTTTATCAAGTTTAACTCTTAATGTTAAATTCCAATACTTTATTTTTCCTGGTGATTTTTTTTGCCATTCCTTAGTGTTTCTTTTTCTTTGTGTGTTTCTTGTAAACAATATGAATGCAGTTTTCTAAACTTTTTAAAAAATGACATAAAAGTTGGAAGACTAGGATAATAAACTCTAAATTCACCAACTGTTAATATTTTGCCACATACATTCTCTCTCTGCTTCTCATCCCCCAGTGTGTGTGTGTGTGTGTGTGTGTGTGTGTGTGTGCGCGCACGCGCGCGCACGCGTGTGTGTTGGCCAAACCAGGGATGAGTAAACTGCAAATATACTGAACCTCCTAAATACTTTATGGAAATTTACATTAGTATAGAACTATTATCTCATGCACAGATCATATTCAAATTTCATCAATCTTATAATACTGTTTTATGTATAATAATTTTTTTCCTAATCTGGGATCACATTTTCATGTAGTTGTCCTATCTTCCTAATCTCCCTTAATCTCTAAGAGTGCCTCAGTCTTTTTTGTCTTTCATAATAGTAATATTTTGAAGAGTCCAGGCCAGTTATTTTGTAGACTGTTTCTCATTTTGGATGGTTTCAGACTCTTGGATGTCCCAGTACTTTCCTATTACATTTAGGTATGAAGTTTTGCAAGAAATACTACATAAGAGGTGCTATATTTGTCTTGGTAAATCACAATTAGAGGTACATGATACCAGTTTTTTCCATTATTGGTGATATTAATGTGGTTAAAGTGGTACCCTCCAGTTTTTTCCACTGAAAAGCTACAATGTCTACTTTGGAAATAGTTAAATATCTGTGAGGACAGTATTTGTACATATTTTTTACACAATTGTTTTAGTACCCATTGATGATTCTTTTCTGCATCAATGATTACTATAATGGTTTTTTATTTAGGTTTTTTTTTATCTTAACTCATAATCTCTGTTCTTAATGGGATAATTAACTTTTCATAATGAGAAAAATATCCATATACTTGATTATATTCCACCTTATTTTATATATGCTACTTTTTAAAAATTATACTTTCTTTTTTATTTCTGGTCTGAGAAAATTGCTATCATTCCATGTTTTTCCTATTGTTAATATAGAAATTCTATTATACTTATCCACTGCACCAATGTTTGCTGTCTCTAAAATGTTTCCATAATCACATACAAATATTTCTTGCATTCTGACACATTATTCCCTAATCAACACTCCATTCACTCCCCCTTCTGCAAACTCAAATAGAACTAGAAGGTCTGAGCCAATGGGAGATCACATCCACAACACAAGGCCAATGTAGAGCAAAACAATTTTATTGCATGCATCTGGGTGCAGGCGGGCTGGACCTGAAAAGGGGTCAGGCTCAAATAACAGTTGGTGTGTAGGTTATATATTCTGCTTCTAGCTTCTGGCAGTTCCTGCTGATGTACTCTGCATGGCCCATTGTCCACTTTGCATTTGGACTGGTCTGGTATCACATTTTGCATCTGCTGGGTGATTCATTGCCTTGTGGATAATCCAATAATCCATACTCACCAGAAGTCTGAGCAAAGGTCACGCAAGCAACACATTTTTCACAGTTTCCACCTTTTGCAAGCTTTTGCCTTTATCCTTTAAAAAGTTATTAACCCTTTCGCCCTGGCCAGTTTGGCTCAGCATTTAAAGCACAGGCCCGTGGACCAGAGAGTCCTGGGTTTGGTTCCCGGTAAGGGCACATACCTTGGTTGCAGTTTGTCCCTGGCCCTGGCTGAGGTTGTGTGGGTGGTAACCAGTCGATGTGTCTCTCTCATGTTGATGCTTCTCTCCCTCTTCCTCTCTCTCTCCCTTCTGCTCTATCTGAGGATAAATGCAAAAATGTCCTCGGTGAGGATAAAAAAAATAATAATAAATAAAAAGTTATTAACCCTTTCAAGAACCTTATCATACTTTCAGTTATCTTCTGCATCTCATCTTTTCTCCCCATTTTGCCACACATACTCAGTAACTCCTAGGTATACTGAAATAATTTAGAATAAAAATTTCTTCTATCATGCAGGGGTGGGGGACCTTTATTCTGCCAAAGTCCATTTGAATATTTATAACATTATTCACAGGCCATACAAAATTATCAACTTAAAAATTAGCCTGCTAGCCCTGGCCAGTTTGGCTCAGCAGTTAGAGCATCAGCCTGCGGTCCCGAGAGACCCAGGTTTGGTTCCCACTAAGGGCACGTACCTCTGTTGCAGTTTGTCCCCGGCCCTGGTTGGGTGGTGCAGGTTGCAACCACTCGATGTGTCCCTTTCACGTCAATGTTTCTCTCTCTCTTCCTCTCTCTCCCTCCCACTCTATCTGAACAAAAAAAAAAAAAAAAGGAAAAATGTCCTCGGGTGAGGATAAAAAAAATTAGCCTGCTATATTTGGTCAAACATTTAATTAACTCACCCCTATTGTGATGGCTGGAACTGCTTCGGTGTGTTATGTGATGTTAGCTGGTATTGATTTTGTGGGCCTTATATGGCCCGAGGGTGAGACGTTCCTCATCCCTGGCCATTCTTCAATAGTTGTGATAATCCAGAATTATGTAATGTG